GTCAGCTATGGGTTGGTTCTGAGTCAAGGGTACACAATGAGAGATGGCCTTGAAAAATCAGGAAAGATACCTACTGCCCACAATTTACTACCTTCTGCCACAAAGAGATCTCTGTGAATGACCATTAACAGTAACTTCTAGCCTGCTTCTGTCCTGTCTGTAACAGCCCCTCCTCCCTAGGTACTCTTCACAACTTTCTCTCATATCTTCTCCAGGAAACTTCTCTTGCTGACTGAGAACATGCTCAAGGCCTCTATGTATTTCCAATACTCATTCAGGGCAGAGATGTCTAGAATTTTCTTGCTTTTTAGGCAAGCCTCTATGACTGCCACCTCTCTCCTTTCCCCACCCAGTGGTGCATTTACACTCCTCAGCATCACTGGGCCAAATCCAAGCAAACTAGGCAGGCCAAGCCCATTCAGGTACCAATCAAGAAGCAACTCTTCTCCAAGCTGTAAGCTGAGGCTCTTGGGTTTGTGTTAGGTGTGGAGGGTAATAATGGTATGAGCTATATGCTCACTTTATCCTATGCTCCCATTTAGTGAGGATCCAGTCCTTGGAGAAGGACATCATGCTTGGAAAGCACAGGTTCAGCGAAAAAACAAGAATAGCCTTAACAAGAAGGACTGACATAGTGGCTGCAACAATGGACTTAAGCACAGCAGGGATTGTGAAGAGGGCATATAATTAGACAGGGTTAAGCTGACTCAACCCTACCTAACAACAACCTGAGAAAAGAGAACCATGTCAGGTCATTTTATCATACTCACCTCCTGAGCCAGGAACTTGAGGGGGAGCTTGACAAATTTTGTCTTCCTCTCCGAGATAAGATTCACAAACCTGAGGTTGGAGAAGAAATAAGTGGCACAGCCCAAGTAACTGTTTACTCAACTGGTGGAGCTTCAAAACACCTGTTTTGAGTTCTTGACATCTTGTATTTTGCACAACCTTTCCACTGAATGCCCTGTCCTTTCTTAGGTTGGTGTGAAAGCAAGGATGGTTCCATCCAATCCAACATTTACTGAGAGTGTGCCTTGTATTGGAGCCACATAGATGATTAAGACATTGTTTTGGCCTTGAGTTTGGTCCAAGGTAAATAATCATGGCATAATATAATATTATGTTGGAACATAATGTCGTAAGTACTAAAATAAAAAACTACATCAAATAACAGGGAGGGGAAGCACAGCTGAAAATAGATACAGTAAGAAGAGCCAGGGAGGATCTCAAAGCAGACAAGGAGAGCATGACACGATAAGCAAAGGCTTTGACAGAAGAGAAAATTCAATGTTAGATTTATCTCCTTATATGTAGGAGACAACTAGGAACAACGTGTAACTTTTTAAGTCAGGATCTCCAGTTCAAAAACTAAGCAACCTTTCAGTGTTCACATGGGAGAGGAAAGGGTCATATTAGATGTAGATGGGAGTAGAAATGGAATATAACATCAAATCATACTTAAAGACTTCGTTGAACTGTTCAAAAAAGTTCCTCTGGTGAGGCGAGGGGAAGAAAGCAATCATTAAAGCTGGAAAAGAGCATTTAAAATTACCATCTCTACTCCATATTCCATGAAAAAAGGAGATCAAAGATAACAGATTCTCATGAAAAGTAAGAAAACCAGAAATGTGGTGACATGAGGTACTAAAAAGCTGTCAAGTTGGCCATTCACAGGCTGATTCCCACACAGGAACATACAGGTTAGTTTCCTTTTGTGTGGGTTTTGTTTTGGTTTTTTCAAGACTGGTAGGCCAAAATTTGCTTAACACACACTATTCCCTCTTCTCCCACCCTATCACCCTCCCACCCTCACTTCATGCAGGTCTTACCTGACCAATGCCATGCCATACAGGAGCCTAAGTTCATCAATGCCCAAGCCACCAGTAACATCCATAAGTTTACAGCGTACCAGGTCAGCAGTAGAAGCCACTGCCAGGGGAAGGTCGTTGCCTAACCTAAAAGGCCACAGTCCAGAACCATCGTTAGAACTCTTACATTAGTTCCTCCTCTACCTCATAACTTAGGTTACTGTAGGTAATTATATACCCTAGCTCAGAACAAAATAACAGAAAAGCTAACTGGGTACAAGAAGAAATGTTAGGTAACTAACTAGCAATTAAGTGTGGATACATGCCTTCTTTTCACCTTGAAACCCTCAAAAAATTCAGCTAGAGAAAACCCCTATCTTTTATTGGCCTGCCTCCAACTTAATCTCACCAAACGGAGTAGGGCGTCCCATTCAAAGATGGCTTTGCAGGCAATACAAAAAAACCACCCATCCCATTCGAATTGTAAATCCACTCCAGGTTAGCAATTTATTTCTTAAATTCTGGCCCAAGCCCCACTCGTCTCTCCCCAAGTTGGCGTAAACTCACTCTTCGAAGATAGCAGTTAAAGCCCATCAACAGACAAGTGTTGAGGCACGCCGCTCAAGAATTAGTCCAAAATCCTGACGGCAACTTTCTCACCAGGAACTTGGAAGCGGGACAAGGTTCAAACCACTCGACACTTTAAGGGAAAGACTGGGGGCTCGGGCCTAAGACGAGCACAACAAAGGAGGAAAGGCATTGCTTGCACGAATCCGCGGTTTACCTGCTCCTCCACACGGTGATACGGTTCAGCGCGTACCTCTGCAACGCGTGGTCCTCGCAGAACAGATAGACCATTACCTGGTCCCATTCGGCCCTGTTCAGCCAGGCGACCACGATGCACTGAGCCCACACGGGCGACAAGCCTTTCCCTCTAGCGCACTTGCCGCACCACGCACTCCATACGCGATCCATACCACTAGGACCTAAATGAAACCTAATCGCAAACCGCCACTCAAAACACAGGGCTCCACAACCAAGCGGCACACTTTCTCCAGCACAACGTGCAATTCTCACTCTAAACCAGCGCCGCTCCAGTAGCCAATGTTAGGATGTGGCTGGGACACAAGCCCGCCTCCCAGCGTATGGATGGCCAATGAAAATTGGAAACCTGGAAGCCCAACCCACAGATAGTATTACTTCCTCGCTGAACCGGAGATGTTCTTTTTATTAAGCAACCCTACCAACTGCACGCGTGGAGGCTCAAAGTTCCGTCAGTTTCCTGCCAGGGTTTTAAGCCCTAGTGGTGCATCAGGGATGCATCTCCTGTCTCCATAACTTTCATAACTCAATTTATATGCGGAACAGATCATTTGGGAGGTTGGACTTTAGGAGGAAGAATGTGGCACCAGGATTGGAGGAAGACTCATCAACAACCTGTGTTAAGCAGATGACACAACCTTCCTTGCCAAAACTGAGGAGGACCTGAAGTGTTTGCTGCAGAAGATCAGGGACTGTAGTCTTCAATTTGGATTGAAGTTCAACATCAAGAAGACAAAAATTCTCACCGATGGGCCATTAATAGATGGAGAGGAGATTAAGGTTGTTAACAATCACACTCTTGACACAAGCGGTTAGGAAATCAAAAGATGAATTGTGTTAGGGAAATCTGCTGTCAGGGACCTCTCCAAAGTGCTAAAGAGTAATGATGTCAGTCTAGAGACTAAAGTGCGCCTAATTCAGGCGATGGGCTTTGCATGCATCAATAACTGGATAATGACTAAGGATGACAGTAGATGCCTTTGAGTTGTGGAGCAGGAGAAGAGTATTGAACACATCATGGACTGCCAAGAGAACAAACAGGTCTGTCCTAGAAAGGATGAAACCAGGCTACTCCTTGAAGGAAAGGATTTTGAAGCTCTGCCTCACATACTTTGGGCATATGGCCAGAAGGGACCAGTCCTTGGAGAAGGACTTCATACTTAGAAGGGTGAGAGACCGCTCAGGAAACGAAGACCACAGATGAGATGGTAACAAGGGTAATGGGGCAGGTTTGTCGGAGACAATGGGACTGGCTCAGGATAAGGCACTGTTCAATTGTACATATGGTCTCTATGAATCACAGGCTACTTAATGGCACAAAACAACAAAAACAAGTGATGCAATGGTTAAAGTGCTGGTCTGCCTTTTTTGGCTTTTTTTCATGGTAAGAAAATTTCGAGTTTTTTAAAAATATACATTGCGGTTTACATTATTCTTCATTCATATTGTGTTTTATGCAATCATTTTCATGCATTATGTTTTATAAAATCAGTCACAACAACAACAAAATGATTTCCACAACATATGGGGGGAAAAGAAAGAAATTCTTTTTGGGAGATCTGGTGGTCTAGTGGCAAGAAGCTGTGCTGCAACCCCGAAGGCACACGGTTCAAATCTACCAGATGCTCTGCTGAAGAAGGAGGTGCAATCTCCTCCTGTACCGATCAGATCCAATTCGATGGTACACACACACACGAGAGTGAAAACAAAAAATATCCATCACTATTGGACCTTACCCATCATTACCCAATCTTTTCAGATCCCCACTGGAACTTTCCCATTTCCCTCACCCCCTCCCTCGACCCACCAAAATGTGCAACCCTGTGGTTTTGCTCCTACCTATACTCACCCTTCTGCTCCCACCCCTTCTCCCTTTGCATCCCAATACATGTTTTACTAGTTACCTTTCTATTTTTACAATAATGGTCTTATGCAGTATTTGTCCTTATGAGACTGAGTTAGTTCACTCAGAATAATGCTCTCTTATCTCTCTCAAGTTATGTAATTATTTTTTTAAAGTGTTGCTCCTGAGTGCAGCATAGTATTCCATTGTGTGAATGTATCACGATTTCTCAATCCATTCAGTTGTGGTTGGACATTTGGGCTGTTTCCATGTTCTTGTCATGGTGAATAATGCTGCTGTGAACAATGGTGTACAGATCTCCATTTGTGTCTCAGTTCTCATTTCCATTTCCTTAGAGTATATTCCTAGTAGTGGTATAGCTAGGTCATACGGAGTTTCTGTCTCCAACTTTTTGAGGAACTGCCAAACCATCTTTCAGAGTGTTTGTACTATTTTACAATCCCACCAACAGTGTATGATAGTTCCTGTCTCTTCACATCCTCTCCAACATGTATTTGCCACTGCTACTGGTGTAAGATGATATCTCATGGCTTTGATTTGCATCTCTCTTATTCATCTGCCAGTCTTTGTTGTTGTTATATGCCACTGAGTCACCTACAACTCATAGCAACCCTAAGTCCTTTAGCTCTGAACCCTGCCCTGTCCTAAGCAAGTCTCTTTGTCTCTGACAGACCTAATCCCATTTCCCCAGTCACTGAGATTGGTTTTAACCAGCCATCATCTCTGTAGGAGAAAGAAGTGACCATCCATTTCTGTAAATAGTTACACCCCTGAAAACCCTATGGGGCAATACTACTCTATCCAACAAGGCCTTATGAACCAGAATCTACTGAATAGCAGGGTTTTTTTCTTTTGTGTTTTTCTGCCTTTCATTTTTATTTGTCTTCTTTCCTAGATGTGATAGGAATGTCTGGACCGAAGGGAGAATTTCACTTTTTACCCCATTGTAGAATGCCAGGTTGGGGGCAGGGATAAGATCTTCCAGTGTACCAGAAATTTGCTGGTAAGTATAGTGTTTTAGAGTTTCTGGAAATCCGCCAGAGGATCAGCTATGTGTGGATTCAGACTTGACGTTACAGAACCACAACAACATAATGTTTTTATTATCATGAATCAGAACCTAACCTCTAAACACAATTAACACTCTACCTGGAAGAAAGTTGAGCCTGGGATCTTTGATGGAGGATTATTAAGAGTCAGAATCTGGTTTGTACCAGCAGATTTGGTTTTTTTTTTTTTTAACCAAGGGCCTTGCCTTCTAAATTGATACCAGCCTTTTTGTGTTGTTGCAGTGATATGAGGTCTGAATGATTAGGGTGAAAGTCATCTTGGGAGTAGACAACTTGGATTTAGAAATATAATGGAAGAAAAAAAAATACAGAATCACAAGAGTCCACAATTAAGGTTGCATAGTGGAATGTACTTGGGGCGGTGGGAGGGGTGCGGGGGGATTGCGTACCAGGGAGGTAGTCTTTCTTTTACTTTTGAAAGAGAGGAGCGAACTGGGG